GTGTTGTCCGGAGGCCCGCAAAACCCTCCTAATTTGTTTTTAATTTGTGGAAGAAAGTACATCCGGACCATCCTGCTAACCGATGCTGGATGGCACAACACGTGATCCGAACGGTCGCGTACAGTTTGGAGGTCAGAGTTGGAGATGCCCTTAGAGGCTGGTCAAAGCGAAATGTGGCAAGATGAAAAACACGGAGCAAATAACGCAGCGAACAGAAAAATAATCCACCGACCAAATCAACAACGTGAAAACAACACACGTGTCAAATCAAGAGAATCATGCCTGGTTAATTCGCTGGAAAAGGGTAGCCAGTTCAGGCCCATCAGTTTGTGTAATATGGTGTACAAGGTTATTGCAAAGATGGTGGCAACTCATCTAAGGCCTTTCATCTAGAAATTATTAGTCCGACCTAGAGTGCTTTTGTTTTTAGGAGAATGATGATGGACAATGCCTTGGTGGCCTACGAGTGTTTCCATACAATCAAAAAAAAAGGAAAAGAAAGTTTGTGCGCAATCAAACTCGACATGCATAGAGCCTATGATAGAGTTGAGTGGCCTTTCTTGAAGGAGATTATGCTTAATCTGGGTTTTCATGAGAATTGGGTAAATCTGATTATGCAATGTGTTATCACTGTGGAATATCGAGTTCGGTTTAATGCGGAGGAAAGTGAAAGCTTCAAGCCTTCAAGAGGTCTACGACAAAGAGACGCCTTATCCCTTTATTTATTCCTATTATGTACGGAGGGTCTTATGGCTCTTTTGCATGCGGGGGAGAATGGAACAATTGTGGGATTGAAAGTTTGTAGAGATGCTCCTCCAATAACTGACCTACTTTTTGCTGACGATTCATTGATTCTCATGAATGCGAACTTGGAAAATGCAAGTCAATTCTGGATTTGTATTGTGTTGTTTCGGGGCAAATGGTGAGTGTTGAAAAATCTAGTATATTCTTTAGTCCCAATACGGGCGTTGATGTTAGAGAACAAATGTGTACCACTCTGGATATTTTGACGGAGGCACTTAATGACAGATACTTAGGTTTGCCAGCAAATGTGGGCATGGATAAAACTAATTGTTTCCTGTATTTGATTGACTGTATTATAACGAAAATCAGTGGCTGAAAGAAAAATTATTATCCGTTGGAAGGAAGGAAATTATTCTCAAATTTGTTGTTCAAGCCATACCCACCTATGCAATGTCGGACTTTAAAATTCCTAGAAAAAATTGCAAAGGAATCAGTGACACGATGTCGCATTTTCGATGGGAAGACGAGGACAACCGGAGGAGTATGCATTGGATGCTTGGTGGAAAATCTGTGTCCCAAAGAATCAAGGGGGATGGGCTTTCGTGACATCCACTGTTTCAATCTGGTGATGCCGGCAAAGTAGGCTTGGCGGTTAATCGAGAACATTGAATCCCTTAGTGCTACTAGTTTGACAGTGAAGTACTTTCCTAATGGGGATTTACTGAATGCACATTTGAAAAAGGAATCTTCGTTCACCTAGCAGAGTATCATGGCGGGAGTGAAGTATCTAAAACAAGGGTATATATGAAGAACAGGAATGGTCTGAATATTGATATTTAGGAGGACACTTGGATCCCAAATTGTGCAGATAGAAAAGTCATCACGCCAAAAGGGAACCATCTGATCTCTCGGGTTGCAGATTTTATTGAACCTATTTCTAATGATTGGGATGTGGAACTGGTTACACAAACTCTTTGGCCCATTGATGCACGAGTACTTGTTATCCCTCTCTCTCATCATGATATGCCGAATTTTATTGCATGGAGCTATACAAAAAATGTTATGTTCTCAGTCCGGACAGCGTATTTCGTGGAGTGGGAACGTCAACACGGTGATAAACTCCGACATGCGAATGGTTTGGGAAGAACATACAAATCCTATTTGGTAGAAGATCTGGAAGATCTAAAAGAACATGGGACGCTTCCGTGTCGTGTTACTCTTGCCAATAGACATATCAAGATGTCGCCTCAATGCCCTTCTTGCTCTTCTAATCCAGAAGATACAAAGCATGTGTTATTTCTCTGCCACAAAGCAAGAGAGGTTTGGAGAAGGCTGGGTTGAACGAAATGATTATGAGAGCCTGTGAAATTGATTGAGCGGGTGAGGCTGTTCTGGAGTTCTTACTTCTTATGCCAGATTAGGATTTGACCTCAGTGGCGACTAGGAATGTTCGATAGATGATTGCCATTACTACCTGGTACCTCTGGTGGGAAAGGCGTAAATTGGTCCACGAGGAAACAACCCAAATCATCTCTCGGGTATCACTAGGGATCCATGCAATTACAACAAATTTTGTTAATGCTTGTTCTCCAAAAGCGATGACAAGAAAAGAAGGCTGGACCCAACCCCTCTGGGTTTTGTAAAACTTAATGTTGATGCCTCGTTTGATCATGATGAGCTCAGGGGCATTGTCGGGGCGGTACTTAGGGATGATAGAGATAAATTCATTGCAGGGGGATGGAAAAGATAGACTAGTGCGCAGATATCCTCGCGGCTGAAGCTTTGGCACTCCGATATGGGTTATCCCTAGCACAAAAAATGGGGTGCAATCGTCTAGTTATCAACTCTGACAATCTAGAGGTCATCAAGACAATGAACAATGGAGGATGTCATGCGGGCGCAGCGGCAGCAATTTTTTATGATTGTTATCATCTCACTCGTGATTTCCCTATTTCTAGGTTTGAACATTGTAATACAGAAACAAATAAGATAGCTCACGAACTAGCTAGGCTACCGAGATTTTCTGCGATTGGCTTGAGGAACCAATAACACTGCGTTTGGATGTCTTCATTAGGGGGCTTGTATTGGATTTGGTATTGGTAAGTTTCATTTCACCCGTTTGGCTGGACGCTGAATTGGCGGTCGGTAATGAAACTAAATTTCAGGCTCCGAATTGCGCTGAAATCGCGCATGCCGCAAAACGTACCGGTTCACTTCATTTTTTTTCCTCGCGAACAGATAAGGAGAAAAGGCAGGGTCCCTCAAAAAAAGGAGAAAAGGCAGGAAGGGAAACAGCGAGCACCACCTGCGCGTTGCACCGCCTTTGGTGTTGAAGAGAGGTCACGCTCGCCTGAGAAGCGCGACGCCTCACTTCCCCGATCTGCTCCGGTCGAGCCACAAGACCGAGGGAATCAGAGACCCGCACCGTGCGTTTAGTTGCTGCAGCTGCGGCTGCTGGGCGGATGGAGCTGGAGTAGACGACGAAGGACTATCGCTGCTGAAGCTTCCTGACCGTGCTTGCCTACTCTTCAGTTTCTATATGTGTGTGGATGTGGGCAAATTTAATGATTCTTGTGCTTATGTGTATGGACAAATTTGATGTTTCCTTTAGATAGAAGGATAAAAGCTTCACAATCAATGGGAATATGCAATTTCAATGTTTGTCACCCAAACAGGATTTGGTATTGAAACCTCACAACAGATTCCATGAGGCAATTCAGTGAACAACCAAACAAGCGAATTCGTATTCATGTCCATTTCAGTTTCCATGCTGAAATGGTATTCCAACAATCCAAACGCAGCGTAAATGAAATTACAACAGACTATGTATCTATTTTATCTAATGATGAATAAAGTGGGTGGTGTTTTGATTGGAAAAAAGGGAGAGAGAATCATGCCTTGACACTACGAATTCAGGGCAGCGACGATAGGGCCGATGTGTATAGCCATCTAGCCTTTGGTCGACTTGCGGAGTCTACAATGATTTCTAAAAAAGCAAACCACGCGCCGACCGCTAGCGGAAAGGCATGCGGCATGATATGCCGAGCTGCATAAAGTTGACTACAGTGACCCAGTTTTTTCGTTAATAAAACAACCCATCCCACAATTCCATAATATGAACCATATGATATGTACTCCCTCCACACACAAATATAAGATCTTTAGGACAACAGGCGGACCAAAATGAGGAACAAACACACTAAAATGTGTCTACACACATCCGAGTCAGGAATAAGTTAGAACATATTATATTTGTGAACAGAGAATAGAAATAAGTTAGACATCATCATATAAGATCTTGAGGCACATCTTATGTTGGGTAACATATGAAGAATTTGCTCAAAGGGTACGTCATATATAAGCCCAGGTGTACTTGGGCATCTAATGCCAAACGATCACCATGGACGCCAGCAACAAACACATCTACGCTGGTATCTCGGCCTTGGGAATCATTCCTAAGACTTCTGCAATCTGGAGCTTCTTCCTGGCGTAGTGTGCATACGTCTTTGGCAATGCACGCTGAAATTGGAAAAGAATGAGCTATTACATACAAAACCTGCAAGCGGAAACAATATTGCCTACCAATATCTATACAACCAACCTTGTAATTAATTTCCTGCGCAATCAACTCTTGGACTCTCCAATCCGGAAGCTATACACACCAAGGAGAGACATCAGACAATGATATAATATACTCCCTCCGGTCCATAATAAGTATCGCGGTTTTGAACTAAGGTTGAACTAACCTTACTTCAAAACTACGACACTTATTTTGTATCGGAGGGAGTAGTATATAACAGATTCCAAAGCATGGACCACACCACACTATACTTACCTTCACTTCCTTACTAATGCCCTCTGTGCACCGGCGGAACTGCAAAGGGAAGACGGTTAAAGCATTTGCATTGTAAGAGATACTACTTAACCAATGAAAACACATACAGAACACCTATGAACAAGAACAACAACAACAAAACCTACTTGCCGCTCCAGTTGCAAAAAGCCTCCGGGCCGCTGCAGCTCGGCCTTCAAAGTTTGCTGGCGCGATGGTACCAAATTCTCAGTGCAAACTTCCTGCAGAGCATCTCTGAAACTTGTCTACATGTTGTCCAACAAAGAAGAAAACAATACCACCAAGCATAAACAGGGTTAGAACACAACAAAGAAATAAACTGCTCTTAGTTCTGATGTACAATGCTGACCTGACCCTTGACCCGCTTCCAAATCTCAAAATAGGCACGGTCAAGATCTTTCACAAACACAACATAAAAGCGAGTCCTCCATATATACTCCTAAATTTAATCAAAAGATTGCAATTGTCAGATACAACCATAACTAGAGCTGACAATCTAAATGAGCAAGGGGCAAAGGAATCGTACCATGAAACCATAATATGCTAGACCGAAATCAATGTTGTGGAACTTAGCAGCAATCCTAATTGCTTGGTAAAAACCTTTACGATGGATTTGATCCCACTAAATAGAAGAACAGGAAAGTTAATGTGATGCTACAACGTATATGTAGAGATTAGTTGTCATTACATGGTTTTGAGAGGTCATATAGGCCTACCTCCGGAGTATCTTCTTTAAGCACATGATTTTCAAGCCACTGTTAAGAACAGAAGGTTGTTAGTCCAATTTCCTTTTTACTAAACAGAGGAGTTTTAAACTTGGACTAGCTGATCACTGCACCATGCATACCTTAATTTCCTTGACCATCTTTTCCCAGTACAGCACATAGTCTCTATCAGCTTCATGGGTGTTATAAAACAAGATGTACTGACTCAAGCTTTCATACTCACTCCAAGCCTGCACCAGAAAAGAAGGAAAGCAACATATCACAGTTGTCCTGAGAATAACAAGCACTGAGCATAAGGGCACGGAATGCTCTTAGGATCATATGCGTGTGTGGTGCCTATTATTTTATAGTACTAGCGCACTTCAAGAAATTACAAAAAAGAAAAACAGTATTGTAACATGCAACATATACAGTGACTCAAGATATTAGGCAAAACTCCGTTTACACAAACAGAAAAAGGATGGTACTCTATTTGGGAGCAGTCTGCATGTGGACCTCTTGTCAATTTTTTAGGACTTGCCCCACGTAAAAAATGCATCAGCATATTAAACTCTCGGGGAAGAAGGTATAACTTTTGTCTTTTCCTTCTACCATGCACATTTTATGAGATTTTCCGCAATTTATTGCAAACACACATAAACTGTGTTTAATCTCCATACGATGCGAAGTTCATAGTTTTATTTGTGCATTTTGCCAAGAACCTCAGGCTCCTAGAACCAAGAGGTTACTCAAACAAAGCCATGCTATGATATAAAGAAATGGAGAATAGCAGTCATCATTCAATAACTGTCCAAGCTGTCAAAGAAATATTTGTGGACACCAATTCAAAGGTAAGAAGAGAAGAAGAAACTGGTTACTGGCTGCATGAGCACAAATTAAGTCTATATGAATCACTGAACTGAAAGTAGTGAATACAGATATACTTACACAGTTAGGGAGGACTAGCCGCTGGTAGTCACTCAATGACTTAAGTAAACAGAGGTCAGAGTCGAAATACCAGCCAAAGACACCATCTTCCAGGTAAGGAGAGAAACATGTATTCTCCAATGCAAGCTCGAGAGGGTACTTGCATTCCGATGTAGCTTCGTCTAGCTCGTCGATATGCTTCCCTTTCAGCAACTACACAGATGAACAGTCGAGTAAGTACATAATTAATAGGGTATAACTATGTGTATATGATTGATCGCGATAGACAAATAGATGGATTGATATGGGACTAACCAGGTAGGCTTTGATGCGGTAACCTACATACTTGACATGGAGCTCGCGAAACTCCTCCTGATTCAGACGAGTCTCAGTGTCGATTTCAGCAGGTCTGCAAGCCTTTAGCTTTTCGGAGTAGTTGACGAATTCCTCCTCAGGGATATCATCGCCCATGTCCTCTACAGAATTTCTCTCTCCAACACCTGGCCCGTGGGGTTCGCTCAAGAACTTTTGGACTTGATATTCTACCAGCGCAGCCCGCAGCTCATCATCATAGAAATTAGAACGAGTGAGGGCTTGGACAATTTCATCCGAAGGAAGATTTGGGATGTCGGCGGCGGCGGCGCATAACTGTAACTGCAACTCCGCGAGGCGCGAGGCGAGGATTTCATGGTACCTGGACTCGCGAGCCGGCCAGGCGTCCGGCACCTCGTCGAAGGATCCTGACGGGGGTCCGCTGGAAGTCCGCCCGGCCAGCTCGTCCAAGGATCCGGACGGCTGCGCGCTGGATGTCGTGCTGCTGCTGTCCGATTCGACATGGGATCTGGACAACGATGCGCCTTCTTCACCGCGGCGCCGGCGGGAGGGTCCTTGTCGAGGAACCCTCCTGCGGCGGCCGCGCCTCTTCTGCGGCATCGGCATCTGATCGGCGATCACAGGGGTGGAACCGGCGTGACGGCGAGGGGAAGGGGATCGCGATTCGGCGCTAGGGTTTCGTGTGGATGAGGACTCGGTGACCTTTGTGCTCTGGGGGAGGGTTCACGGACCATCATATCCTTTCCCAGTCTGGGCCTAAATAACAGCAGGCCCAAGTTTTCTTCCGATAGTCCCTTTGAGTTTTTCGTTTTACATATTGTTATGTTATATATTCTTTTCGGACTTGTAAATACCCGTGCGTTGCAAAAGGGGTACGAGGACAATTATATGTGCAAAACACATTTGCAGTCATGCAGAATTTTACGCTTTACCAAAAATTACATATTTTTTAAAATGAACTAATTTTTTGGTGAGTGACAAAATAGCTCGTGGTATTATAGCGTAAAAGAAGAAACTCGAATCAGTAGTCGACAAGTACACTTGACCACTAACTTTTTCTTGAGGACTACAAATGAACATGTAATTTTCTATATAAATGAAATACATCATAGCCCCCGAGGCTCACCTTTGCAAATAAACAAAAATCTTTGTTGACTTGAGATGACTTACCTTACCTAGCTAAAATCCAACCGAAAAACTGACTTGATATAACCACCAACAAAATAATCCAAGATCGTTAAACAAATGCTTCACGGAGTCTAGTTAATATTAATTTTTTGATAAATGATGGATTTTATTGACTCAAAATGAAGCATCAAGAGGATACAATTACAATGAGTCCACATCCGGCCTCTGCATAACTAGAATGCACACAGCCAACATCAACTCACGCTCAAATAAACACGCGAGCAAATAGCAAAGTCATACAAGACCTAAGCTATGCATCCGTGAGAAAAAGAAAAATCGGAGTAATCAAAAACAGCGATCGACAAATTACGACAACAACCATATCCGCACCAACCATTTGTTGACGCCACAAGGACAACGAGAAATTTCTTCAACAACAACGCCTTCATGAAGGGGAACAACGCTCAAGCACCGCCGTCGCCAAATCCAAACATATGAGATTCTAGGTTTTCACCTTAAAGAACTAGTCCGAGCATATCCGAGCAATGCCTTCAACAAGGTAATGAAGCAAATACATCACCATTGCTAGGTATAACCAACAGGGGTTTGACATATGTTTTTCACCCTGGAGCTCGAGACCGGGTACTCGAGAAGCACCATCAAATCGAAGTCAATCTTGTATTGTCGCCACCACTTTTCCGTGATCCTAACAGTTACATGTGGTGAGCTAGAAATCCCACCGCCGTCACTGCACCACCATACCCTCTGCGTCAAGCTGTCATCTATAGCAGCACTGAAGGTAGACTGGCGAGTGAGAGCCGCCAAAACTCGTAGAAAAGCTTTTTAGCTGCATCTCACAACCTGCAGGTCTGAGCCGCCGGGCGCAGCCACAGGATCTGAAGAGGGAAATCCTCACAAAAATCCTTGGGTGACCACCGCCATCCGCAACTCAAATGGCCGGCTGGTGCCACCACAACCAGAATTGAACCGCTACCAATAACCATGTCTTCTGCATGAGAAGGATTCAGGCCAAGGTGGCACGGTTGCTGCCACTAGGCCGCAGACGAGGCTCTCAAAACTGCGGTAGCGTTCTGCCTCTAGAGCACGCTTCACCGCCGTCGCCGCTGCGCCTTGTGCGCTGCTGCTGAAAAAGAGCGTTGCTGCCATCAATGTGCCTTGTTGTAGTCGCTGCTATGGGCGCTGCAGCTACAGCCGTTGCCAAGCAGTCCGCACGTCTGCCTCTACGGCCGCTCCCGAGCAGCACGCGTTGCGACCACCGCTCATAGATCGTCACGGGGCCGCGTGCTCCTTGCCGCCGCTCGCTTCGAGTTGCCTCCGCTGCTTGATTGAATCGCCAAAGATCGAACCACCCGGGGCCCGCCGCTACCGTCTGTTGCTTGGGCATTGCCCAGCGGCGGCGTCCGGCAGCGGCGAGGAGAGAGACGTCGGAGAGGGGGGCAGAAAAATCGGATCTCCATCGCCACCCGTGTCGCCCGACCGGAGAATAAATTGCAAAAAATCACCACAATTGTGGAAATGTCATCAAACACCCATCAAAATGCATGTTTTCTGATGGTTTTTTTTATGAGGCATTGAAAACTTTGACCCAATTATGGTGGTTTTTTGCAATTTACTCCCCGCCCGGACGACGCGGGGGCAGTTTTCCGGAGTTAATATTAATTACACAGGCAAAACATATCCAATCAGTAAAGGAAACTGTAGCACTTTACCTTTGGGGATAAGGCATGCAAGACAGTGATTACGTCATGTAGTTGCTTGGATCGATATGATAATAGCGGCCACCACCTCAACTTCTCGGCTTGGAGATGGTTCATGCCTACCAAACAATAAAAGTACCATGTAAAGAAAGGATGCAATGTTCACCATGTTGCACGTCCACTCATGGAGTGGTGGCACGAAGCTACTCCCTCCGTTCGAGTCTAGATACATCCGTATCTAGACAAATTCAAAACAAGTAATTCGGAACGGAGGAGTAGGTCGTTAACTCATAGCATCAAGAGGAATACTTTAAACACTCTTGTGCCTCTCATTATATGGAGCATTTGGCGGGAAAGGAATAGGCGGGTCTTTGACAATGCCTTCACTCCGTTGCAAAGAGTTATAGATCAAATCAAAGCTGATGCGAGGCAATGGGCTTAAGCGAGTTTGGGTTGTTTTAGTTTACAGCAATTGTGGTTGTACTTTTTGAAGGGTCTATTCTAGTGTTGTTGTTTTTCGATGTGTTTCTGGGGTAGTTTGCTTTGGTCGTTTGTACTCCCTCCCTATCTTTAATATAATACATGCAGCTCTCTTGCATGGTTCAAAAAAAAAAAGATCTGATGTATCTACATCCAGGCTCAAATGCACCCCAATGTTTCAAAAATTATCATAAAACAGTAAAATAAAAAAATAGTAAAAAGGTTAAAGAACACAGAATTTTTTTTGTGCAAACTTTGACAAATGTTTAATGTGCTTGCAAAAATTATCATAAAACAACATTCTTGAAAGTTGTGGTGAAAAAACAAAATGGAGGCTCCAAAAATGCTATTTTTGAAAGCATTTTGGACGTTTTTTTTCATGCCTTCCACAAATGTCGTTTCGGGCTGAAAATTTCCACGCACTAAAATTTGTGAAAGTTTGCACCAATTTTTTTAGTTTTTTTATTTTTTTTGGAATTTACTTTTCATCCCGAGCTCAAATGAGCTGGGAGTAGAAGGGTACTTTCGGTAAAGGAAAACCTTTACTTCAAGTACTTTCTTGAGTTGATCACTAGTAGATTTGCTTTTGGACTAGCGGCGGCCGCTCGTACCTTGAACCGAGTGTGCTAGGGTTTCTCCTGCCTCCCGCCAACGCTGCAGCCGGTCTACCTCATCTTCTATGGTCTTAGGACCATGGAAGCGCGGTGGATCCCGACCCTTGCCAGCGGGAGGGCTCTATTTTTAATGTTTTTAAAGATTTCTTAGGGTTTGTGTCCTGCTCAGAGATGCAAGGCGGCGGCAGCTCTCTGTAGATGGAATAAGGTCCTTCCCGCCTAGCCCCATTCCGGTGGTGTTTTTAGAATCGTCGAAGGGTGTGTGGAGGTTTGTCTCCGGCGGATCTCGTGGGATTTGGTTGGCGTTTGTCTTCGGTGGATCTATGTGGATCCGGTCTTCTTTCGTCTGTGTTCGTGTGTCTACAGGTTGGATCCTTCCAATCTATGCTTCTCATCATTAGCGTTGGTTGCTGTTCTAGTGCGCTGGTCCTATGGGGTCTAAGCACGACGACTTCCCGATTGTCTACTACAACAAGGCTTGCCCGACTCTGATGAGGGAGGGGCGATGATGGCAGCACGCCTTCGACTTGCTATAGTGCTTGTAGTCATTGCTAGGTGGTCTATGAACTTTTCTTCTGGTGTTCTTTGTACTAACTTGACAGTTGATGGATAGAACGGAAAAATGTACTTCCTTCAGTTAACTTAAATTTTCAGGATTATTCAAAGTGTAGGCATTGTATACCTTTGTTTAATAATAAAATGCAGAATAACCTGATAGTACAATGTGTATAATCAGACTTTTATCATTTATTGGAGAAACTATATATATGGCGTCCAAATCCTCTAGATAGAAAGACATCAATTAATTCCTCGGCAATTCTAGACAACAAACGATTCTCCCGGCTTCAGGCCATGCTCACGCTGGTTTCTCATGAATGCATGTCATCAGCAAAATGTCAGCGTTCCGCGACACCACATCACACCATAGTATCTCCCTTATTCATTTGGTTAACCTATACATCAAGGATTGTGTGTTGCTGGTAGATATAATCTAACCCACCCAAGCTGAATCTGCTCTGTTTCTCTACAACATAATGAGATTTAGAGAAATGCTCATGGACAGGCAGCCATGTATAATTGTTTTTGAGGTAAATACACCGGGAGTCATAAAACTTGCACGAGACGTTCAGTTTGGTGCATAAACTCGTAAAATACGTGTTTCTGGTCATCTAACTTGTCCTCTCGTTCATATACGGTGTTTTCTATCGTATCCAGCCGTATCCCAGGCACACGTGGCGTGCCAACGTTGTGGGGGCCCATTTTCACTGTTTTTTAATCCTTGCATTTTATTTATTTATGCAGAAAATTCTCAAATTAAATTAAACCAAACTTTTCTGATCCCTTGCATTTTATCTACACGGCCAATTCTCAAATGAAATTGAAAACGCGGGTACATGCTGGGCTTCGAACTACTCCACTAACCTGATGTTTGGCGATTGGTACGCACAGTTAGCTCCATATTATATGGATAGTATGAAGCAAATAGAAATTAAAACAGGAAAAGCTGTGCAAAAAGGGGATAGCCCCGGTTCAAACCTATGACCTCCTGGCTAGCTCGCCCCATGTGCAATTAAAGAGATATACACAATTTATCTTTTGTATTCTTTCTTTTTTCTATGTAAGAAACTAACTTATATTCTAGATAAACTTTTCGGACAAATCATTA